AGTTTTTTTCCCAGTTTAGTCTGTCAAATGACACTGAATTTTATCCAGTAAGTCCCATAGCTGACCTGCAGGTCATGAAACTCTCAATTCAAAATCAAAGAAATACAAAACATACAGTTCTGTAATGTATATGCAGATGCAAGTATAATCATGTCATATCACCCTTTCCTGTTGTACATGTTCTTAGACTGTGATTCATCCATATGTTTTGAAGGGAAAAGCAAAGGACTCTTCTATTCATAGAGGTTCTTTATGTTATCCTTAGCACCTCAGCTACCCTGACTTATGTTCAGCTCCTGAAGGGAATGTAACTATCACTAAGCAAAAAACTTTTATTAATTTTGCACATAATTTTGTAATTATCTATAAATTTCTAGATCTACTGGCACCCAGCACTGGAAAAGCAAGTTTTGTAAATTTACGGAGGTTAGATGTGTGCTCTCCATGCTGTTTGTGGGGAGACTATTTGGATTCCATGCTTTGCTTAACTGTTCTATTTCAATTCATTCCATCCCCCTCATTAAGCTTAATGAATGCATCCATCCAGGGAATTGTAACAACATAATATACAGTAACTTCATATCAGAAAGTGGGTTACTTTCCATGCTCATGAAATTATCATGTATTAGCGGTCTTAGATCATTGGGTAGCAGCTCCTGAACTGAGAGCTGCTTGCACCGCCACCCTCCAAGAACAAAAGTGTACCGTAACTGTACATGCCATCTTGTGAACTCTAAAGTTGGTAATTCTCAAAGAGCCAGAAACAGTAAATTAACTGAAGCTTAACCTTAATTTTAAGATTTCATAGACGATTAGAATCATTAATATATTTTTAACTACAAAATTAATTGGAAATATTTATGTTTCATAAGATATGAATTCAGGGTTCTTTTTTGCTAAGACTCAAGCTTTCTTTGAAGAAAAATTCCTTCTTACTTTTCTAATACAATTTGAAAGTAAAAATTTCTGCCTGTGTTAGCAAATAAAACATATCGCCTTTGACACAAAGTGCTGGCAATAAGATGAAAGTAGAGTTGTTCTTTTCTATATTAGCAGATCTTGTTCTTTGGAGTCCATAAGTATAATTTTGGATTTTTACTAACAATCTCATAAGTGTGCATGGAAGTGTATAGGCCACAGACACAACAGGAACATACAGTGACTTTTTGGGATCCAATAGCACAAAACACCACCTGGCTAAAATGCATTAAGGTCAGTAAGACTTTCTGTGAGTCCACAGACCTTTTACTACCCTGTGACAGCCACCTCCAACTGATAGATTTAACCATTTGCATTACACATGCAAATATAAACTAACAAATTAGGCATGCAGCAAACTAAAGAATTAAACTTACTGCAGCTTTGTTGTGGGTGGGAGTGGAAGGTTTAGACAAAATTGATTAAGAAAGCCCTGTCATTCAGTCACAAGGTGCAGAAAGGACTCCCTTGCTTTCTAAACCCATTCTCAGAGAGGAGCCTAGGTGCAGCTGAATCCAATCCTAGCCTTGGATTATGCCAGTGGTTTAAATTTAAGGAATTATAGAGGTGTGATTGAACCACTTTTGTCCTGCAGGTTTTAAGAATTGGCAAAATGAGGATATTTATATAAGATTAATAGTTTATTATTACAAATGGTCTGACAAAAGATCTTAATCAGAACTATTTATGACACAACATAAATGCTAAAAATCTACTAGTGGAGTATAATATAGCATAAAGTAGTGTACTGCACTGTAACAAAGCAATTATTGAAGAGGTTATTTTAAAGCTAACAAAAAGAAATAATTATTAAGTAGAGACCTGATGTAACTCACCCATGCCAATTCTCGTGGGGAGATCTCTTCCTCTCAACTTCAAGGAGTAACCTTCAGGGACATCCTCAGGCCAAAGGAGGAATCTCCACACATACACTCCAAGAAGGGTTATATCAGAAGAACCTGTGTGAAAAAGGACTAGGCTTTTATAGTATTAAGTGATTGACTCCTAGTCACACATTTACAGGCCAGCTATCAGCTTATCTGTCAAATCAGTTTTCAAAAAGTAGGGTGTGTATTCGAAGTCTGGTGAACCAGGATGGTTTTAGCATAATTAACATCAAGATGACACCCTGGCTCTAACAGTTGATCTTGCATGATAGCTTGTATGATAGCTTGCTTGGATTTTAGGTCTTATCAGGGTAGGTCTATAATGCCACAAGCTTGCCACTTCCTGATTCTTCTGGATGCAGTGATTTCTTATACTGATAAACTCTAGATGCAAAAATGCTCATGGGCAATAGCAGGGCACATGAGTAAAAAGGTGCCTTCTGTTAGGTGTATTTTTTAACTCATACAGAGCCTTAATTCTGGCTGACATTTGCTCGTAAGGAAAACAAACCTCTAAGCAGCACTACAAACTCACAACCAGTCTGAAGTTGTGCCAAATATGCTGAAATATACACCTATCTGAGTATGTGCATTTCATCATCTTGACAGTGGATGAATAAGTAGAGATAGCCTCTATTAGCCTATTCTATGATTCTATTAATAAAGAAACAGAAGCAATTAGAGTTTTTAATCAAACATTATGCATAATTTTTATTCTCTAGTAATCTGAATCACATTGAAGTCAAATCTATAATATCTGATTATGACTCCCAGCTGCTACTGTGTGTGTTCTGCAACCAGCACTTGAATGCAGCTGCTATTAGTAACTAATTTGTCTTACATTGGCCCAGCAAGTTGTTATGACTGGCATTTCCGTCACTCCAACACTTTCTGTGCAACTACACTGACATAGATATTTGAACATTTCATACTCCCCTTTGATCTTCCTGAGTGATTTTCAGTTCATCTAAAATTTCTGTGATATTTCCTTCAACTTCCTGTAAAAAAGACATAAATGTTGAGAAACACTGAAATATCCTTCAGTATATAAGAAAAAATTTGCAGTGATACTAATTGGCAATGTGTCTGATTAGCATTTAAAATACTCCAATACTTTTTACTCCATTAACCTTGACATAAATTATAGTAAGTAGTCTCTGTGTGACAGGAGTTTTAATTTAGCACTACATCTCAAGTTACATACGTCTTTGAGTCTGACATAGAGCCTTTCTTGCCAGTTCTTTTTACCTTGAGGGAAACCAAACAGACAGTAAAGCCAGGGCTTACTGTGTAAACAAGCAAGGGTGTTCATAGCATCATTTTTGCTAAAGCAGTCACTGTGATACAAATGACTTGATTTGGTCTTTCAGCATCCATGTCCATTTCTGGATTTTAGATTGAACTGCTAGACAAACCCTGATGGAAAGAGCTTTGTTTTTCCCATTTCACTAACATCTCAAGTGATGCCTTTTTTTTTTTTGGTTACTAACATAGAGCTTCAGACTTCAGAGTGTGAAGCAGGATATCAGCTGAACCTAAAATTGTTTTATTCAAACTATTACTCACTTCTCTCAAGACATCTGTTTGTTCCTCTATTTTACAGAAGTCTTTCCAAGTTCCTCTTGCTGAGCTATTCCATGGATTTTATATGCTGGGGTTATCTACCATAGGTTCTTTTACCTCATTCCCATGCCTTCAGTACAGCTGGAAGCAGAAAGCTTTTGCAGCTTTGATTTACATATTTAGATCAAAGTAATGTAATAGCTCTCCACAGTAATTAAAAAAAAAAAAAAAAAAAAAAAAAAAAAAAAAAAAAAAAA